CAAGATACTCATGTAATGGTACAAGATCCCAATGATGAATGTAACTGTATTTTATACCTAAAATGTACCAATAAACTTAATGGGGGGAAAAAAAGAATACAAAATACATATGCACTTGGAAGGAGACGTCAACCTACTGGTAAAGAAACAATGTTGGCTTGGTCTATTGCTTGTTGAAATCCTAGAAATTAAGTACCTTGGTGCCAGTATGTGCTCTTCCATTACCTAAGTAGGTGTGTCATTGAGAAGTCACTAAAATACTGAATGACCAGTTTCCTCAGATGGATCGTTAGTTTTCAAACACCTCCACCTAGTTCTGGAGGTACCTCAGGAATTTTCTGATGTTCAGGACAGAATCCTCTGTCTCTTCTACACTCTTGAACCAAATCACCTTTGATTTATGTATTCAACATAAAATGGGTTAAGACCTAACTACTGTAATTCGGATGTGTTAGATATGAGACATTCATTGTCCTCATTGTCCTCTCAGGTACCCTTTCCAGGGGACAGAAAGAGGACTGACTATAAAATTCTAAACTTGGAAATTAAAATATAGAAGCCTAGCCTGGGTGTGGTGGCATACACCTGTAATCCCACCACTCAGGAGGCTGAAGCAGGATCACCATGAATTTGAGGCCAGCCTGGGCTACATAGCAAGATCCTGTCTCAAAGAACAATAAGTAAATTAGAAGCCCAATACAGGCCATTATTTTTAAATATCCACAATGAATTTTTAATATTTTACCTTTGTTGTTTTCTTAATAATAACAATATTTGCTCATTACAAAATATCATACTTTCTCAGGAGTATATAATACCCAGAAAGGAACCCAATAGCAATCTCCCATAGGTATTTGGGGACATCCCCACAAGGTTATTTCTATGATTAGTAAATCTTTACCAAAAAAGTATATTTTAAACACTTCTACAACTTGATTTTTTCCTTAACATAATAACAAGGCCACATTCTTGGGTCAGTAAATATAATGTCACTATTTCTCTGTGGATATATATTTATCCAGTTTCTCTTTATTAAAAAACAATACTTCAGTGAACACCCTTTATATGTAACTTTGATAAGTTTCCATAGAATCAAAGTCATAACAAACTGGATGTCTGTTCAAGTACAGCTGTGGATATCTACTGTTTTGACCTGAACACTTAACTTTCTCATCTTCTAACAGACTATTCCATGCAGTTCTAATGGGGCTGCAGATTAGAGTATACTGTTAATCTGGCCATGGAAATCAATCAAACAAAGAAGTCTATGACCCAAGAAGAACAATCAGAGCCTGTCTCTGGGATTGTACTTATGGGTCCTGGGGGAGAGGAGCTCTTTATTTGGGGATGGTTCCTGCACCCATAGGAACTTGGAGCTCTTTGACAGGGCAACCCGTTCCTACCATCTGTAGAGAGACCTCAGAGCCAGAAAAAATAAGTGAGAATGAGACCACTGCACAAAGAAAAACAGATATGATAACAGTGAGCTAATGATTTCATTCAAGTCACTGGATCCAGTCCTGCCTGAAGCTATATTGGCCTTTGACTTTCCATTTATACAATTCTCTCTTTTGGAATTGGGTTCCTCTCTCTAGAGATGGAAAGCCTTACTAGTCAACATCTTTTACATCTGGTATCAGAGCCAGCATCCTTTTACATCTGGTATCAGAGCCAGGTTTCCAACTGGAGAGCTGGATGCAGCAGCTTTCTAGCTGGTGTTGAAAGAGAAAGGCCCCAGGTCTTCACAGACCTGCAGTTAGCACAATCCACACAGCCCGGAAGCACCCACTGGCTGTTTAGCTAGACTGGTTCCCTGGTTTCCTAGCAACCAATCTCCTTTCCCCTCCCTCACACACTCACACCAATTGTGACACCTTTTCAAGGCTGTCCTTTAATGTGTGTGTTTGGAAAGTAGAAAAGGAGGCGGCAAAGAAATACACGTAATACAATTTACTCCAAGACCCAAGACTTAAGACCATGTATCAGAGATGACTTCGCTTAGGGGTTCAGAAAATTCACTGGCAGGTCAAAAATAGCAAGAAATGTTGCCTTAGTGTTAAAATTTTGCTGGTTTATAGCTAATTACTTTAGTGAAAATAGTAGTACATACTTGTATTAGTCAGCTTGGCTACCATAGGAAATACTATAGAGTAGGTGGCTTAAACAACAGAGATGTGTATTTTTTAGTTATTTTCTCATAATTCTTTTTGACTAGAAGTCCAAGATTAAGGTGCCAGCACATTTAGTTTCTGGCAAGGCGTCTGTTCCTGGCTTGCAATGGTCACCTTCTGAATGGATCTTCACATTGATAGAAAAGAGCTATACGGTAAGACAGGCCCTTGCCTTGCCTCCATTTTTTTTCCCACAGAATGTTTTGCTTTGGAAATGTACATTTGTGCTGATGGGCTCCTGCCCGATGCATCAAAATGGTTTGTGACTGAACTGTGTGACCTCTCAGGAATGTTCTGTTAAGCTCTGCCCCCTCTTGGGAATGTTCTGTAGCTCCTCAGTTTGTGCTCAATGTATCAAAATGGTTGGTGACTGTTTAAATTGTGACTTTTCAGTAATGTTCTGTTAAGCTCCGCCCCCTCTCAGAAATGTTCTGTAGCTCCATCCCTGTGCTTCAGGAATGTTCTGTAACTCTGCCCCCTGCTTCAGTGAGCATGCTCACACTGCATGTGTTTCAGGAATGTTCTGTAACTCCGCCCCTTTACTTCAGGAATGTTCTGTAACTCCACCCCCCTGCTTCATTGAGCATGCTCGCCTACCCTAGTAGATCTCTATATAAGGAGGCTCTCGTTTCTGGTAGAGTGCTCAGACTCCTCTGAGCCCACAGGGGTTCTCTGGTGTAATAAAGGTTTTTTTCTCCACCTCTTCAACTGGCCATCTGATTCTCGAGTCTTCAAATCATGAGAGCTGTGACCCAGAGCTGCCACACTGAACTCTAAAGCTCGGCTGTGCCTCAGAGCTGTGGCACTTGGCTGCAACACTGAGCTGTAACACTTGGCTATAGCTCTGAGCCACTGATCTGCCTGTTTCTTCTTATAAGGCCACTAATCCTATCACAAGGGTTCCATTCTCATGACTCATCTAACCTCTCATAGTCCTCATCTCCAAATAACATCACAATGGGGACTATCTATCGCTTTAACATGTAAATTTTGGGAGAATACAAATGTACTGAATCACTTTCCCAACACTGGGATAAAATACCCAACAGCCACACTTTAAAGAAGAAAGGTTTAATTGGCTCCCAGTTTCCAGTGCATTCACTTGGCTCCTAGGCAGAAACAGCATGCCAAATGGGCTGCCTGAGTAGAAGGAAAGTTATTCAATCCATGGCAGACAGGGACAAGACACCCTTTCAGGTCATGGCCTAGTGACCCATCTCTTCCAACGAGGCCCCACCTCTGAACACAAGATTTTTTGGAGACATTTTGGACCTTCACTAAAACAATAAGTATCCAGTCCACAACAGATCCTGAATATTACTAAAAATTTTTCACATGATATTTACAACAGCCATAAGACGGGTTATTTTAATCACATTTTATGTCATCAAGAAGTTAAGGACCTGGCCAGAGTCAAAAGACCAGAATACAATGTGACTACTTTACATTATCTACTGGTCTTAGAGGCTTTTAACACTGCCATCAGTCTCAAGCACTGTTGCATGAGGCGTAGCAATGCTAGGACATACATGCAAACTATTCATTATTTACTGGCAACACAGAAGGCCCTTTCCTTCTATCTCAGTCTCAACAGATCATATTGAAATCAGGTAAATGTTGTAGAAACATGGCCATATAGGATGTGTGACTTTATACCAGAAGAGCAGCAGACTGGATTTAAAAAATAATTTTATCATCATTCTGTGACATCAGCTACACTGGCACCTCTGCTCCTCCAATGGCTTACAAAGAACTTTAGTCACCTTTGACCTGAGAGTCTCTCCCTCACCTACCACGTCAATCCATTTCTAAGAGCTTGCTTCCAAAATAGGATTGGAATCTACCCCATCTCTCTATCTCCACTATCACCAACTCCTGTGAGAACAACCTAGTTAGTTTCTCTGATTTTTTCCCATCTCAAGTTGCTAAATAAAATACTGAACACCCAGTTAAATTTGAATTTCACGTAAACAATTGAAAATGTTTTAAGTATATGTCCCATATAATATTTGGGATGTGCTTATTCATTTTTAATTTGAATTTCAAGTTTAATTTGGCATTCTGTTTATTATTAATTTATTCATTGACTAATTCTGGTTATTCTGGCAACTCCATCCTGTCTGCCTCTAGTCTCCATAGCCAGCAGAGTAAACTTTTGAGAATTCAATAGATGATCACTTTGCTCCCCTGCTTAAATTCTTTAATATTGTCTTAGAAAAAAAACTCAGCTTCTTAACCTCAAACACTATAGGATCTAGTCCCAGATGGTAAGCTAGTTGGTTTCTTGGATCCAAATCTCTTGGGGTCATTTTAAGCATCTCACCCAAAGAATTCTTAGCATCCACATTCTAAGCAAGCAACCCTCCTATAATCTCTTACTATGCTCTTTATTTTCCTGATATAGCCCTTGGATTTATTCCCCATTCCTGTTTTTGTTTTTCGTTTGTTTTGTTTTGTTTTTGCTTTTTTGGTACCAGGGATCGAACTCAGTTACCTTGAGCTTACGAGGCAGGCACACTGCCACTGAGCTAAATCCCCAGCCCCCAATCCTGTTTTTAAGTAGAGTGTCTTACACTGGTGGAACACTCCTGACTTCCTGCCCCACTGGAGGAGCAACTGCTCCTCTGATGGGTGGGCTTGGGAGAAGGATCTCAACACATTTGCCTGGTCCCCCCACCTGAAGATGCTGGTCTGTAATTTTCTACACCCAGTAAGGAGACTGATGGTTCGGGTTAGTCCCTGAGGCGTGGGCTTGTGGGGCAAAGAAGTGATGAGTTCAGGAGTGGGCACATTAACAAGATCAGTTGGCCATACCTAACTCATATTCTTATCAGTAAGGAAGGTGATAGTCTTCTCTCCAGCTCCTTGACTCCTGCTCCTACCTCTTAGTTTTTTCTAAACCAAGGTAAAGCTTGGGAGAAATGTGTTAATCATCAGCCTCCTAAACCAACATTAGCATTTGCTACAGTTAGCATTTATATGTTTATGTTTGTTTGGCTCTTTAATGTATAGGAATCATATCTGTTGTTCATTGTTGTATTTTTAATGCCTGCTACAGAGCTAGGCACAGATTTCTGTCTCTTCATTATCAGGATGATTGAATAAATAGATCTTACCTTGTTGCCCACCACAGTGCTGTCACCACATAACTCTGAGAATAAGTACAGCCCAGAACTGGGTGTACTGGTATACTGAATCGCTTGGTGGTAGCTGTTTGGGGCTCTGTATCAAGAAGCATACTGAGGTTGTGCCCAAGCTCATTGAAAAATTGTATCATGATTAGTGAGCAATGTCTATCATACATGCCAGGGTGGGCAATATAGCGTAGCTTAAATCAATTTTCTCTCTTTGGCTTAGAAACCTTTGGGGCCATACTATCCCTCTCGGGACATACTCAGAACAATGCCAGCTGGGTGGGATTGGAGCTGCTGTTCTCCCTTGACACTGGTTTGGATGTCTGGTCACCTTCCGGGATCATCCTACAGATGAGTGAATCATGCAAACGCAGTTGCTCCTGGCTTCCTCTCTTTCCCACCTGGTCCAATAGGAGCCCAGTAGGCAGCATGAATTATGAGAGATGATTTCACAGCCCATGAACTTCATTGCTGTGGAAGGAAAAAGGGCAAGGCAAATAAAAAACAAGAACTCTCAGGAGACAGTCAATTCAGCTGTAACTCAGACTTTGCTCTAATACTTGAAGTTCTGCCTAAGTCTCCTTGCTGGGACCCTGACTCTAAAGTTGTGAATCCTCTTGCTATTAGGGTCTGCCTCCATTGATTCAGGCCATCTTTTAGCTTTGTTTCTAAGATTTTTGTTTTGTTTTGTGTTTGGTTTTGGTCTTTAGGAGAGTATGATCTTTTCTAGTTGAGGTCCTCAGGATACCTCTATATGTAGCTGCATCCTCCACGGTCCCAGCATCCTCTGTCACTTGCCATCAGCATCATCTCTTATACAGTTTACTCTTGTACCATCTCTAGGGTTTTAATCATCATGTCTGCTCTTTTTGTTTTTCCTATTTCTCCATATGAACTCTATGCCCTTTGCATTTCTGACCCAGGTTATTGTGTCTCAGCCAAGGATTCTTCCCCCTACCCCAGTGTTCTTAACCATGGATTCACATTAGACATCACTTGGGGAGATTTTATTTTTTTATTTTTTTGGTACCCGGGATCGAACTCGGGTCCTTGCGCTTGCGCAGCAGGCGGCGAAACCGCTGAGCTAAATCCCCGGCCCTACTTGGGGAGATTTTAAAAGCCTAAGGCCAGGGCAACACCCAGATCAATTACATTTAAATCTCTGGAGAGGCACCCTGAGCATCAGTATTTTTAAAAATCTCCTCAGGTGATCCCAACGTGTAGGCAAAGATGAGAACAGCCCCAGCCAAACGAAGACATTTACAAATCGCCATTCAGGCAGTCAAACTAAGTAATTCTATGTTAAAAGTAAACTCCACCTACTGACTTTCATTAGACATAGAGGGAATCTTAGAGTTGGATGGACAAGGGACTTCAAGGGCCCTCAGCCCACAACAGGAGACCTGAGGAGGTTCCACATCCTGGGGTGGGGAGTAGGAGGGCTCTGTTATCAAAGGAGTCTGGACAATACTCATTCTGTACACTCTTCCAGAGATTTACAATGGCTATTAACCCGAAGCCCTCTGAGAAATGCAGCAGGGAAAAAAGAGACAGCAGTAATCCAATTAACTTGACCCCTAGGTTTCCCAAATTTACTTAAGGACACCTATTAACAACTCAGGGAGTCCACTTGCAAAACACTCTTAGTCCAACCTTTTTGTTTGACAGAGATGTGGAGGAGGTTAAATGTTCTACACTCCTAATATTTACACAGACCATTCTGTGATGAATAATTGCATTATTAAGGATTGGATTCTGTTTTGAATATCCTTTGAATATCTGGTACTTCCACCCCACCTCTGGTGAATTCCCTCTCATACAACATGATAATTAAGTTACAAAGGTACAAAAGTGACAATGTTAGGAGCCACTGCTATTAATAAGATATTTAAATAAAGTACTTTAAATATTATAATTTATTTATTAATTCAACAAATATCGATTGAACACCCCAGAGAGTAGCATCACATGCACATTTAACAGGATTAAGTGCAACTGTGGAATAACAACAATAAGAACAGCTGAGCCTTCTAAGGCACTTAACATGGGCCAGACGTGGGCTTTACCTGCATTCACTCACTTAATTTCCACAGCAATCTCTGAGATTGGTGCCATTATTAGTCCTCTTTCACAGACGAGCAAGTGAACCACAAAGAGGTCATGTTGCCCAAGGCCATAGTGCTAACTCATCAGTGATGGAGCAGGCAGTTGTCTCCAGTGGACGAGTACTGAGCTGCTCCTCTGAACCGCGCACTTCCTAGCTTGTGAGTGACTAAATGGTGAGGGCATTTCTACCCACTGACTGGTTTATTTAATGAGCTTGTGGGTGCTCCATATGCTTCTCAGAATGAAATTATCTTGCTGCACTGAGTGTGATCCTATTGTCTGAAGATCCTGCTGTTTCTACACTTCATCCCCTAACACAAGCTACCCAATTCACCTGCTAAAGAGGTGGTCTGTTCCAACAGTGGCAAAATGACAGCGTGACCTTCCAACGAAATATAGGCTTCCAGCATGTTGACCTCCAACATGGCAAAATCTTCAGTGTATAGTCACAGAAAACTCTTACTGTACACAACTTTCACCTTAAATCCTGGATTTAAATGAATTCCTGTTTAATATGTACACAGTGCTGAGTATTAGACATGTATCTCTAGTCATTATACTTGTGACAATTCTCTTCCACACTTTCCCAACTTCCCTATGCAGAAAGATTACACAACTCAGTTCTGACCATTGAGGAAAAGAAGCCATTAGTTTCCTGGTGAATGAAGATAGACACAGCTTGAGTCATACCCTCCCCTTTCTGCCTTGAATGTAGGTATGATGGCTACAGCAGTGGCAACTAACCTATAACCATGAGAGAAAATAGTAGAGACATAAAGAAAATAATAAAAACCATCCCTGAAATCATTAAACAATGAGCCAGTGTCAGCAACTGCCACTACCAACATATTTATTATGTGAAAAATATAAATCTCAAATTCTTTAAGTTTCTGTGGTCATATTTCCTTTTACTTGTACCAAAAACCTTCTTTTATGGATATACCCGCTCTGATGGTACTTATGATTTAGGCAGATAAAAATTAATCATATATACTATGTAGCTTGTGCTCTCTCTGTCTCTCTCTCTGTCTCTAACTATGTATCAGTTTACACAATGAGGTGTGCAAGAGATACCTCCCTGTACTCTCAATATTATCTACACCTCATGTTAATGTTTCACTAAGAGGCCTTAAGCTGCCAAGCAGTGGAAACTTGCAATTCAGGCAGGTATCTTCCTGCTTTTCCCTGCAGTACATCTAAGGGGCTATTATGGTTTGTATCTAAATGTCCCCTCAAACCCTCACATGCTCAGAGGTGGGCTTTTGGGAGCTGGCTGGATCTAGTGTGTGTGATACTGGGATTAAGGGTGGGTGGTACTAAATCAGTCCACTGATTGGTTTAGCATAGTTCTGGGTGTGGATAATGGAAAGGCCCACCTTGGGTGTGAGCAGCACCACCCAAAATGCTGGTAGCCTGGGTGGGATGAAGGGAGAGGCAGGCTTATTGCTGCTGCTTGCTGTTTCACTGTCACCTCCCTGCTTACCACAGACTCTTTCTCCTCCGTGATGCCCCTCTGCCATGCCACCCTACATTGGAGCCAGCCAACTACGGACTGAAACCTCTACAAACTGTGGCTGCAATAAATCTTTCCTCCCTTAACTTTGAGTGTCTGGTATTTTGTCTCAGCAATGAGAAAAATAACTAAGATGGGCACTGGGGAAAGTGAGCTTCATTAGGTCAAGACACTGGTGGAAATGGGCATCTGGTCTCAGCCATCTTCTTTCCACACTGATCCATGTGGGGACATATTACCTTGGGGGCCCTCATTCCTAACTGCAAGATGCTCTGAGCCCAGCCCTTTCAGTGACAGCCAGGAACCTTCTGGGTGCATAGGAAACTATCTGCAGTTTCCATGCCATATTGGGCATGGGAGGAACTGTGGAGCTATCTAAATCTCCTGTACAAAAACACCTCATCTTGGACTGTACTGTCCGTTACCACATATAAATCTAAATTTAAATCAAAATTACTTAAGATTTGTAAAAATTCAGTTTCTCAGTCACACTAGCCACATTTCAGGGGCTTAATAGCCGCATGTGGCTAGTGGCCACACTAGGAGGAAGCAACAATCTGGGATGTTCCTACCACACTGTAGACAGCACTGCTTTGGAGTATGTGAGGAGGGTTGTGTGCTGCTCGCAGGCTCCATCATGCCTTTGTAAGCCTCCTTAGGCTCTGCCTCCTGAGATGTACATTAAGACATTGTTTTCAGACGTTCCATGCCTCAGGATCCTGCCCCAGGTGGAGTCTCTGTCTACTCTGAAGATCTCAAATGGAAGCTTTGGCTTCAAGGAAACAGGGGAAAAGCCTGGCTCTTCATCATCCTCTACCTTTTCTTCTACATCTCTTCTCACTCATTGCCTGACCTGGGCATTCTCAGCTGATTCTGGCAGTAGGAGGCCTTGGTAGTTTTTCCCATGTTTCTTCCAAACCTTTGCTTTCCAGAGAGGGCCTAAACTTTTGAATCTCAAAATACCGTAGAAAACTCCTTTTCCTCAGACATCTACACCCTCCTTGAGGCAGAAAGATCCAATAATAATTCCACAGGTTACCATATTACATAATCACACACGGAATACATAATAGTGAGCTGAATGAGTGCTAAGCCAATGATTTGATGAGAAACTATAACCAGGGGATCTGACCTAGGTTTTCAGGCGCTCAAAGAAAGTCGTCTGCTCTGCCTTTGAAATGTCTAGAATCTGATCATTTTTCCATATCCTCTACCCACCATCTTCATCACTCCTTTTTTATTAGAGTGTACTGGCTATACAGAATCCTGGGTTTCATTTTGGAATATCCACATACCCATACAGCATACTTCGATCCTTTCCTCCCCCCATTATTTCTTCCTGCCCTTCTCTCCTTCTCCCCAATTCCTGATTTCCTTCCTCCTCCTTCGTCCCCTCCATTAGTCTTGCCCCTGCTTTCATGTCATCTCTCTCCCTCTCTTCTTTTTTCTAGATTTCAAATATGTGAAAAAACACATTTGTCTTTCTGAATTTAGATTATTTTGCTGAAAATCAGCTTAACATGCTGATTTCCAGTTCAAAGAAAACAGAGCAAAGAGACAGCCTGCAGAATAGGAGAAAATCTTTGCTAGTTACTCTTCCAACCAAGAAGTGGTGTCCAGAATATATAAAAAGTTCAATACAAATTCCATATGATGAATGTGATCATTATATATATCTAAATTGCACCAATAAACTTAATTGATGATTTATCATGGGTTAATTTTTTTTTGGTACCAGGGATCGAACTCGGGACCTTGCGCTTGCAAGGCAGGTGCTAGAACCACTGAGCTAAATCCCCGGCCGATGATTTAAAAAGATATATCATGTACAGGTACAAATACTCTGTGATAAATGTGATCATTATGTATATCTAAAATGTACTGATAAAATTAATTTTAAAAATTTAAATAAAGAGTTCAAAAATTTAACACCAAACCCCCCACATAACCCAATAAATGGACAAATGAACTGATAATTATATGAAAACCTATCCCGCCATCATTTCTCATCTGTATGCATGCTACGGGCTCATTGCTTGCTCCCAGCTTCCTGTCTATGATCCACCCAGGCAACCTTCAAAACAAAAAAGAAATCAAATCACGGTACTCATCTGCTCAGACCCTTGCAGCAGCTCCCCTTAGCACTTGGAGGGATATCCTTGTCACAGCCTATCACAGCCCCTCCACGGGGAGCAGCCCCCCCCCCCCCCCCCCCCCGCCCACATCTCCTGCCCCTCACTCTCCCCTCACTGCTCCTGCTGCTCCAACCACACTGGCCTCTTTGCTCTGCCTGGCCCCTCCGAGAGCACTTTGTGCCTGCTGCCCCCTCTAGCTAGGACACTCTATCCCAGGAGCCCTTTGAGTTACTCCCCCTTCTTTCCAGTTTCTTCTCAAATGCTCTCTTAGCCCAGCTGTCTAAAGTATCAACCCTATCTCCAACCCTTCTTAATCTGCTTTTTTTCTCTTCTTAGCATATCTAGCCTCCTGACATTCTGCATATTTTCACATTAGTTTATTTTATGCCTCCCTTACTAGAATATTAGTTAATGAAAGAGGGAAATATTTCTAACACTCAGATTTCCTGGAACATAGGAGGTGATATATTCTATGAATGAAGAAAGAACTAAAGGGTGAGCAGTAAGAGGATGAGGGGTTTGAGGACAGGGGAATTGTTTCAGGAAGAAAACAATACATATGCAAAGGTACTGAGGTAGAAAGAAGAATGAAGAAATTCAGAGGTCATTGTGGTTGAAATACAAAGAGATGGGAAAGTAGTATACAGTGAAGGGGTCATGGAAGACTGTAACCCAATCATATGGGCCTCAAGGGTAATGGTAAGGAACAATGGGCCAGTAAAGGATATTAAAGTGGATCAGTGATACAATCAAACCTATTTTTTGAAAGCTCATTCTGAATGTACTGAGCAGGGGCAAAAGAGGACCCTAGAAGAGCCAAGGAGCAGTTGTGTAATACCCAAGGGAGAGATGATGGTGGCCGAAGACATTTGATTCTTATTATCAACATGTTATGTAAGCACAACTTTCTAGGAAGATAACTATTTCATTAGATCCCTGCATTACAAACAGAAGACAAACGTCTGCATAGGTATCAAATATTACAGTCAATTTGATAGCAGTACAACTATATTTTATGAATAAAAAGATGTCTAAAGGATTCAAATCACTAACCAAGGCAAATATAGCATGAGTCATATGAATATATAAATATTCATAAAATTGCTACACCTCAGGCAACCTCTATCTGGGGATGAATTTTCTTGATTTGCACCTTTGATCTTCCAGTTAAAATTTCTACACATTCTGACTTCTAAAATCTACTTGAAGATAACACACTCATTATCCACAAACACAGATCTTACATTTCTACATAATTATGCATCACAGATCAGATCGTAGTCCTAGTTACATCTCTCAATTAAATGGGCATTAAATCAGCTCCTGTGCTTTTTCAAATAAAAAAAATTATTAACTTGAAAAGGGTATCTACTTTTTTAAAGGCAAATATTCTAGTTTTTGGTTATGAAGAGAAATTCCAAAATGGTGATTTTTTTCAAAATTGTTTTTTCAAGAATTTGAAATATTAAGACTACCTTATGCATATCATTTGCTATTTTAGTAAAAAGATCAGCAATTACAAAGATCTGGGGGTGTAGTTCAGTGGTAAAGAATGTACCCAGCATGCACAAGGCTTTGGATTCCATCCCCAGGACACACACACACACACACACACACACACACACACACACACACACAGAGCATCCTGCAATTACAGACTATGTTTCTTTTGTATAACCTCATTTTACCTCATGGTAGTTGGTATTATTAGTTAATTGTCGATATTTTCATCTTTTTCATCACACTGTCCCCAGAATCTAGCCCAATGCCCGGCACACTAGGGCCACAATACAAACCTGTGTCCTTCCAGATCACCAGCCCCACTGGCCCTACCTCAGTGGTCCCTTTCTGTCCCACCTCCCTAGCAGCATGCTAGCTTGTTCCCAGTCAGTTCACGTGGACATTACCACATTGCCTCTTCATAGACCACTTGCCTCCAGTCTTTGCCCCCTGTACACACCTGGTAAGGCCTCCTTGCTAAAAACCTATGCCCTTACTTGCAATTCCTCCCCAAAACATTTAGTGGATTCCACCTGCTCACTGAAGGAGGGACAGTGCCATCATTAAAAGTGGAATTCTAGAAGCAGACTGCCTGAAGTCAAATGTTGGTTATCATGTGAACAGTTACGTGACAACTGGCAAGCTACTTGCCCTTCTGCAATCTATCTCCTTCCCTGGTAGAAGGAGGGTAACACTGCACTCTATGTGATAGGCTTCCTGTGAGGAGAAAATGAAATAAAGCATATGAGGCATTCATGAAAGATTTTTGACACATATTATTCAATCAATGTTATTATTAATGAAATTATTAATACTATCCTAATTCCTCAGCATTGCTCAAGGCATTCTACCCTCTGATCTTAGTATGTTCAATTTTTCTTTTTTTATTCTACCCCATCCTGGAACCATCTGCTAAAGGTGGTGGCTCTGAATCTCTCTTCAGCTTTCCTACATCTGGGAGTTTTCTCACATCTTTCCATCCCACCAGAACACCCTATTACTGTTTATATCATTCCCATCCATCAGGGGACATGACCTGTCCGCCGCTTGCCTAAAGCCTTCTTGGATGGGGTCAGGCGCAGCCATCTCACCTACGGCTTGTAGCTATCACTATCCCAAAGTGAAGTAGTACTTCCCAGGTGCAAAGCTTATTTTTTCTCATAGTTTCTCTTTTTTTTTAACTTTAAAAACACAACTAAACTCAGTTTATAGCACATTATTCTCACAGAAGAGCCCTTATTTATCTTATTGTATTTTTCTATTTATTTTTAAAACTCTCCCTTTATCCCCCATTCCCAGTCCCAGTATTCAGTCATTATTATACTCTATATTTCATCTTGCATGCTACTTTCTCCAGGTTGTGATGCTACACACACATACCGAGGTCCCTTACACATATGGGCCTTTCCTA